GGGGGGGGGTTTAATGAGAAAGTTGCTAATTATTTTAAAAGTGCATTTAATTGATTATAGTACATGAGAATCAAAAGCCTTATTCTTTTGTAGAAAAAGGCAGGATTAGTCATCTTTGAAAATTGGAAAGAAAAAAAAAAACGGGGGGAAAATTGTTAGCCACAAGAAAAACTGCAGTTTGAATCATTGAAATTGAAACTTTCAGCTTTGCAGTAATGCTGAAATGTTTTCTCCTTGGTGGGCAATTCAATTTTATCATTTATTGTGTTAGGTCCAATGGGTGACAATATTCTCTTGGCAGACATACTTGAAAATCAATTCTCAAGTAGAGCAAATGTTGTTGGAGGGATTTTTAAGATCTGTTGAGTTTATCTTCTCAACTTTATGTGGGTGATATAAAAAAATTGTTCAAAACTTTAATTATGAATTTTGTTTGAAAAAGGAAATAAAAAAAATCAAAATTTTGCATCTTCTGTATCAACCATCCAATGTAAAGAAAAATATACCGGTATATTTATATAATTGCTGTATAAGCAGATTGTTAATTACTTATGGCATAAAAGTATTAAGTTTTTGAAATATTGACATGAATGGCATGACTTTGTCAGTTTGTGAGGAGATTAGATGAAGAGTTTGCATGTATGGAGAGACTTATGTCTTATTGATGAAGATTCAGCATAGCAAGTAAAAGTCATGATGTGTATACTTAACACCTTAGTGTCAATTCTCATAAGATACATGTGAAACGAAAAAATACAGATCTGAAAATAAAAGAATTAATAGGTTCCACAAAGTATCCCTTTATAAGCATGATAAGAGGATAAATTACAGTCAAACCTTGTTATCTCCAGCTCTCTGGGACCAAAATAAAACTGAGAGATATCTGAGGGTTTGAGGTAGTGATGTTAAAATACATAGAAAAAGAGAAGTTGGGACCTTTAAACTCACTCTGCCATATCCATGGTATTGAAGATATCCGTTTTTAAGATTCTGAAGTTCAACTCTAGAATCAGGCAATCACTGCTGCATTCATCAAAACATATACCCTGGTAGGTTTCATTCTAAAAGTGTTAATGAAGTGATCTAATTGTGAATTTTATCACTCTGGACCAAGGTTTACATTATTTACATGAGGACTAGCTACTTTTCAGAGGTGTATCTTTGCCTATTCTAGTCATAAACATTTCCAGTTTAAGAGAGACACTGCCAATTAAGGCAGGACTTGATGTTTGTGTCACCAGCAAATTACATTTCTTTAGATTGTAATCCTTATTATCTTGTTTTTTGTTCTGAAATAATACATAAAAAAGGAAGGGGTGGTTTTGCAAGGCTTACAGCTCTGTTGAAGCTGTTTTGCAATGAGAAAATAGTCTTGCAGGGGACGTTGATCTTGCACAAAGATGTCTTGTCAGAAATCTTAAATTTTCTCCTCCCTTTAATTATCACTGTGTATAATGGGTTTTAGTGTTGTCTACTCATATAAATACAGATTAATGCTACTGATTCAGAATTCTTTTAAAACATCTATAACATGATTTTAGCCATTTTGGCTATTGCTGATTTCCAAACTGAATAAGAAATGCTATAAATATGACGCTATGTTTTCTTTTTTTCTTGTTGACTGACTTCAATATTTATTCTTTGTAAGTAGATGATAGGGATGGTATGAGTATATCTCATTGATAAATAAGATTACCCATAGCTCTCTGTGATCATCTGAAAATAATACATTATACTGACTAGATGATGCCATGTAAAACTGCATCTTCTTGATTATTAATTAATACCAATTACATGATTTTTATAAGTACATGGCTGCATCTTCTTGATTATTAATACCAATTACATGATTTTTATAAGTCCATGGCAACATTAAATACACTTATTAAGGAATTATAAATCTTCAACATGCTCATCATTACAGAAATTTAATAAGCATTGGGATGTTAATGGGTAGAAACTAAATGGTATGAACTATTTATCTTTAAAAAAGATTTTCTGTAATATTTGTGAGTTTGTGGCTATTTCATGTGAGTGAAAGCATATTTTAAAAATAAACCATTAGGTACAGAAGACCAGATATATTCCTACATTACAATCTATTATCCTCACTGTGTTCTGAAGGTCACCCCATCAGAACCATAACTTGTATAATATTGTGTGACAGGAGATGTATTATGATTTAAACAAGAACCATTATCTTCTATAGCTCCCTATGATGGATTCTTTATTCCCATGCTATACTTTTGCTCTTTTCTCCACCTTAAACCTTCGACCTCCAACAGACCTAGGCATTTCAGCCTTTCCAAAACCATTATACAATCTTCATGGTGCTAATGTTTCAGGAAGAAGCATGGTGTTCAGAAGGTTTAGTAATTCCTTTTTAAACTCTTTTATGATTTGTGTCAGGTGTCTTATGGATGTTGATATGTGTCTGTGAATGACCTCTTTGCACTATATGGAATGCATCCTTCAGATAATTTATGTGGTTTCATATCTGATGGTTCTTTGAATTATTCTGATAAAAAGAAGAGAGAAGTTATATATAAATGTGATTTATGTGCAAGTGATCTGGATTTTCAGTCAAATTTAAAAAAAATGCTGTGTAAATTAAAAAAAAGAAGTGTTTGAATGTTTTGGGTTGGGTTAAAGATGCACATCTGTAAAGAAAAATGAAAGAGTTGTACTCGAGTTTGATTTCTAACAGATTAGCAGATTCCTAACAGTATTAGGAAAGATGAGTAGAATCCGCTAACACTGCTGCAGCATTTATAAGGTAGTTTAAAGTATTCCATCAGGGTAGTAGACCATTTCATTGATATCCAGCATATTCCTTCTCTAAACCTGCAGTGAACTGTGTATAATTAGGAAGCATAGAAGCAAAATGTGAAGGAAAACTCTGCAATTGAGATCCTTGACCTGACAATTAACTGCAAATACACAAATCCATGAAAAAATTTTTCTGCTGTGTCAGTTTCTCTGTAGAACATTATAAGTCTGGCATAATGGTCCATCAACTTGATTCTCGTCAGATCTGGATGGAGAATCCCAAAACAGTTTGTTTTTATTACTAATTGTTTTTACATTCCCTCCATTGAGGGAGTTTTTACAGAAAGGAAATAAATAACAGAAATTAGGGGAGAGAAAGTTCCCAGCATCATCATTATCCCTATCAGTAGACTAGTGGGGTTCATTAGATTTTCCAGTCGGGATTTCATGGATAAAATTGATCCCATTTATTCCAGCAATGTACAGGTCCACTCATCCCAGCACCAGATTCTTTTATCTTGCACAACTACAAATTTGAGGAAGATTTTTGTATTTTAATATCAATCCCCCTATTTATAAACATTTCAGGAGGCAAAACACTCCACATTTTCCAGGTGCCTTGTTTATTAGCTACCCCCTGTTTTTAGGCTCCAGCTGTTTTCCGTAGCAAATAAATAGAGGGTGATGATAGGGATTGTTTCTACCATCACAGAAGGCAGCTTCTAGTGTAAAAAAAACCTGTAGTTGTAAATTATATCCTGTTTTTCTTCTGGAGCCTGATCTCTTATGCTGTAATGACCTTCATTAGAGCACTGCATTTTACATCATCTTGTATACTCCCTGGACAAATGATTGTTTTGACAACTGACAGTCTACAGTTTACATGGAATCTGATGATGGAAGTATGTAAACAAGGCTTAACGAGTGCTTTGTTTATTGTTGCATGTGCAAAATACATAAACTTAATACAATGATGTATGGTGGGGAAAAAATAGCTATAATGTTAGATTCACCTGTTTCTTGGTAAATGAGTAATATAATGGGATATTATAAATTGAAGGGGGGAAGATAAAATGTTCTAATATATAAGTTATAAGATCGTCTACTTGAAATTAAGCACATGGTCAGATCATCATGAGGAGAAATTCTGTGCATTAATGCACTTTGTTTAGTGTACACTATGTTTACTTCATGAAGGAAAAAGGACCTTTTGCTCCTAAATAAGAATATTCTGTAATGATGGTCATTCTCTAATGGAAAATGAAAAAGAAATGGAAGCAAATTTAGTACATGTATAACATAAGGGGCAAAATATGAAGCAAATCATCATTGAATATGACAGTTTTTGAAAAGGTAACAGTGATTTATCAATTTTGAGTTATCACACGTAGCAGCAGGTCACTCTCCTTGAGGTAGATCATTTCACTAGTAGTTACAATGTCCTGTGTCATAAGGTTCCCCCTTAAGGTGGATCATTTCACTAGTAGTTACAATGTCCTTTGTCATAAGGTTCCCCCTTAAGGTGGATCATTTCACTAGTAGTTACGATGTCCTGTGTCATAAGGTTCCCCCTTAAGGTGGATCATTTCACTAGTAGTTACAATGTCCTGTGTCATATTAAGTTCCACCTTAAGGTGGATCACTTCACTTGTAGTTACAATGTCCTGTGTCACGAGGTTCCCCCTTAAGGTGGATCATTTCACTAGTAGTTACAATGTGCCGTGTCATATTAAGTTCCACCTTAAGGTGGATCACTTCACTAGTTACAATGTGCTGTGTCATGAGGTCCCTTCTTAAGGTGGATCATTTCACTAGTAGTTATTACAATGTCTTGTGTCATATTAAATTCCACCTTAAGGTGGATCACTTCACTAGTAGTTACAATGTCCTGTGTCATGAGGTCCCCCCTTAAGGTAGATCATTTCACTAGTAGTTACAATGTGCTGTGTCATAAGGTTCCCACTTTAGGTGGATCACTTCACTAGTTACATCGTCCTGTGTCATAAGGTTCCCCCTTAAGGTGGATAATTTCACTAATAGTTACAATGCCCTGTGTCATAAGATCCCCCTGAAGGTGGATCACTTCACTAGTAGTTACAATGTCCTATGTCATACAGTTCCTCCTTAATGTGGAGCATCAGGGTTTCGTTATTCAACATTTAATCATTCATAAGACCTTACTTGCAGTACCTTTGGCTTTTTTAATTACAAGGTAAATTTTTCTTTTACAGAGAAAATACAACGACAGTATGGAGATTTGAATGGGGAACTCCATCTGGTGGATTTGAACCGTGGCAATGGCAGCCTTGGAATCAATTTAGCTGGCAACAAGGACCGCAACACCATGAGTGTTTTTGTTGCAGGGGTGCAACCTGAGAGTGTTGCTGGGAAAGATGGCAGGATTCAAGTTGGGGATGAACTGCTTGAAGTAAGATATTTGACTACAGGGAAGATTAGTGGAGAAAGTGCTTTATCTGGCTATTAAGATTCAGTTTAAATTACTTTGTCAATTGAATTTATCATACATTGGGTTAGCATTCTAGCTATATGAATTCAAACTTTTTACTTTAAGCAAACAAATTTGTATACATTGTTTACATCTTAAAAATTTAAGACAACTGACGAACAAATTGGTTTCTTCTGATAAAACTGAAATTATGTGATTCATACTTTTTTTTAATAGGTAAATGGTCAAGTTCTATATGGCCGCAGTCATCTTAATGCCTCGGCCATCATTAAAAGTATATCCACAAACATCATCAAATTTGTCTTACTCAGGTATGTTCTTTGAATAGGCAAAAAAGAAAAAAAATTATGATGACAGAAAGGTTACCGATTATTGTGGTCAAAATGGGTATAGATTGAAATTAAAAATGGTTTGACCAAAAAAAAAATATGAAAATTGACCAGTTACATAATGTTAATTTTAAAAAAAACATATAAATTAAAAAATTGGAAATATTTGTTGGATTACTTTATATAGCAATATTGATTTTTGCTATTTTTATTGCTGCTTTTAATCGTAAAAGTAAAATTTAAAAGTGAAATTAAAAATGGATTTTGTTTAAAAAGCCTGGAAACAACCATGTTCCATATTAAAGTAGTGTGAAGTATTCCCTGATCTTTGAAGTCAAGGTCACATTTTGTACTATGTAATTGAAAGTTTCCCTCTGTAATTATTTGGGATGTTGGTACATAATAATTAAAGACTTCTTTGATATTTATTAGGATGAATTTTCTGTTTTCCACATCGCTTTGAAATTTCTTGTACTTGAATCTATAACAGCCAACAGAGTGCATGTGTCTTGCATTGAGCAATGAACCCCATATTCCTTTGTTTATACGTTCTTAGGTAATCGGAAACTTCATGTGGGCTCCTTGCTTCCTCGTGATTATGTTTCCTGCAGATACTTCAGTAAACATTCCATAGAAAAAGAATGCAATGTCATCTTTGTATTGTCTGCTTTTCAATCAAATGTGCAGCATTGTTTTGTACTTTTATAGGAGAAGCGACAATTTGGAGCATATGGCAGTCAAACCTGTAAAGATGACAGCAGCAGTTTCCCATGAGGTAAAATTTACAGCAGAAAATCGCAGACTAACAACAAATCACAGAGCAGACAACTTAATCCTGAAAGTCATTATATCAGAGAATTCGGCCATGTAGCCTAGAAATTTCTCACAAACGAAATGAGGGAAAGGCAATTTGGTTAATTATTCTCTGGTGACTAATTAAAGTTTTTCATGGGAAGAATTAGGTTTCGATTTATGTATAATTCAACCAATATTACTGAAAACACCTAGCACTTTTAAATAAAACTTGAAAGATTTTAAATTATACACCATGAGATGTTTTAGAGTCATGAATAACATTGATAGATTGATATGGGGAATAGTTTCATGAGTAAAGTAATTGATATAATAAGAAAAATCAGTTGACATAAGCATCACAAGATATCAGGCATAATATAATGTGTACTGGAAAACTATTATTTATATGAACACTTTCTAGGGATATAAAAAAAATGAATAAATTAATAAGAATTAAAGAGGTACAAACTGACAATATATATGGTGAGTTAATATGACTTCATACATCATTTTCATTCCTTTGAGGTTTAGCTTTAGAAGAACTTAAGTACTCTGTATTAAAAAAAAAATCATTCCGGTGGTGATTCCTAGACAAAGTGAATCCTCACAATGTTACAAAGAGGGCAGATAATTGACAAATAAAATTAAAAATGGGCATACATTATTTTTGAAAAGTTAGTTTAAGTATTATATAAATATACATTTTGCATTAATGGGTGAAGTTTGAAAATATAATGTGAATATTTAATAATTTGATGATGACATAGGAATATCTTAAGAGTTAATTTAAAATTTATTAACTACATGAATATTGCTGGAAACTATTTCTCTTAACTTAAAAGAAATAAAAATAGAATTTAAAAATTTTTTTCAGTAGTGTTCTTCAAAATTCTTGGTAGAAAAATTTAGATATTTAAAAAAAAAAAAATAATAATAATAATAATAATAATAAAGGAACATGCAGCAAATGAAATAATCGTAACAACAGTCATGTAACATGCAACCTGTTTTTAGCTCACCTGAGCTGAAAGCTCAAGTGAGCTTTTCTGATCACATTTTGTCTGTAGTCTGTCCGTCTGTAAACTTTTCACATTTTTGACTTCTTCTCCAGAACCACTGGGCCAATTTCAACCAACTTGCCACAAAGCATCCTTGGGTGAAGAGGATTCAAGTTTGTTCAAATGAAGGGCCACGCCCTCTTTCAAGGGAAGATAATTAGGAATTAGTGAAAAATTAATAGCTTCTTTTAAAAATCTTCTTCTGAAGAACCACAGGGCCAGGAAAGATGAAACTCGTGTGGTAACATCGTCAGATAGTGTAGATTCAAATTTGTTCAAATCATGACCCCCGAGGGTAGGGCGGGGCCACAATGGAGGATCAAAGTTTTACATAGAAATATATAGGAAAAATCTTCTTCTCAAGAACAGCAAAGCCCTGATTGGTCATATTTATATGGAAGCATCCTCAGATAGTGTAGATTCAAGTTTGTTCAAATCATGACCCCCGGGGGTAGGGTGGGGCCACAATGGAGGATCAAAGTTTTACATAGAAATATATAGGAAAAATCTTCTTCTCAAGAACAGCAAAGCCCTGATTGGTCATATTTATATGGAAGCATCCTCAGATAGTGTAGATTCAAGTTTGTTCAAATCATGACCCCCGGGGGTAGGGTGGGGCCACAATGGAGGATCAAAGTTTTACATAGAAATATATAGGAAAAATCTTTAAAAATCTTCTTCTCAAGAACAGCAAAACCATGAGGAGTCATATTTATATGGAAGCATCCTCAGGTAGTGTAGATTCAAGTTTGTTCAAATCATGACCCCCCGGGGGTAGGGCGGGGCCACAATGGAGGATCAAAGTTTAACATTGAAATATATAGGAAAAATCTTTAAAAATCTTCTTCTCAAGAACAGCAAAGCCCTGATGGGTCATATTTATATGGAAGCATCCTCAGGTAGTGTAGATTCAAGTTTTTTCAAATCATGACCCCCTGGGGTAGGGTGGGGCCACAATGGAGGATCAAAGTCTTAAATAGAAATATATAAGAAAATATCTTCTTTTGAAGAACTGCAAAGCCATGATTAGTCATTTTGATATGGAAAAGCATCCTCAGGTAATGTAGATCCAAGTTTGTAAAAATGATGACCCCCGGGGGTAGGGTTGGGCCACAATGGAGGATCAAAGTCTTAAATAGAAATATATAAGAAAATATCTTCTTTTGAAGAACTGCAAAGCCATGATTAGTCATTTTGATATGGAAGCATCCTCAGATAGTGTAGATTCAAGTTTGTAAAAATGATGACCCCCGGGGATAGGGTTGGGCCACAATGGGGGATTGAAAATTTTACATGGGAACATATAGGAAAATATCTTCTTCTCAAGAACAGAAAATCATGTTTAGTCATTTTGATATGGAAGCATCCTCAGGTAGTGTAGATTATATATATATATACATCATAATACATGTACCTTACTTGACGTCAAAACTATAGTGCAAACTGTTAAGCTTTAAAAATGACAGTTGAATATCGTTATTTGTGGCAAATTGTCAGAAAAATAATGTACCTGGTAAATACAATTTACTAGTGAAATGATCTACCTTAAGGGGGAACTACGACGCTTCATGCCAATTTTTGAAAATTCATGAGGTACATGAACTACGACGCTTCATGTCGGCATATTTATCATGAAGCGCTAACACGCTTCATGAAATTTGCTGGTGTGAACCATCGTAGTTCATGTACCTCATGAATTTTCAAAAATTAAATTCATTTCTTAAATAAATTTTCCTAAAAAAAACTTCTTTTGTTTATGTACAGGATGTGTCTCATACAGATGATCAAGAGAAGAATAACAGTGTTAATTCCTTAGAGTTCATAGTAGATGTTGTATTAGAAAAGGTGTGTAAAATTATTTATCTCCATGATCAATTTCTCTCAATTCCTGTCAATCTTTATCACAATCTCTAATGGATACATTCATTGTTCTATGCTGGATTTCAAACTGAGCAGCCAACATGCTTGTATATTTTCTGAAGACACCTCTGTTCCAGAAACAGATTGTACAGTATATCATGATTTGATAATTAAAGCCTTTTATATTCACAACTGAGCACTAATTTAATTATTTGATTTTATACAGGGTGCATCAGGGCTGGGGTTCGCTATTGTGGAGGACATGAAAGACAATCAGCCAGGGATCTACATCCGCAGTATAACCCCAGGGGGCGTCGCTGCTCAGGTAACTAAACAATGTAACTACAGGGAATGTCACTGCTCAGGTAACTAAATCAAATAACCCCAGAAGGCATCGCTGCTCAGGTAACTAAACAATGTAATTACAGGGAATGTCACCTCTCAGGTAAATAAATCAAATAACCCCAGGAGGCATTGCTGCTCAGGTAACTAAACAATGTAACTACAGGGGACATCGCTGCTCAGGTAACTAAATCAAATAACCCCAGGAGGCATTGCTGCTCAGGTAACTAAACAATGTAACTACAGGGGACATCGCTGCTCAGGTAACTAAATCAAATAACCCCAGGGGGCGTCGCTGCTCAGGAAACTAAATAATGTAACTACAGGGGACATCGCTGCTCAGGTAACTAAATCAAATAACCCCAGGGGGCGTTGCTGCTCAGTTAACTAAACAATGTAACAACAGGGAATGTCACTGCTCAGGTAACTAAATCAAATAACCCCAGGGGGTGTCGCTGCTCAGGTAACTAAATGTGACTACAGAAATGTTCTCACTCAGGTAACAAAAATGTTATATTTACAGGAAATTCATCTTAATATATAAAGTTGCAAAGTTGAAAAAAAATTCATGGAAATTTTTTTACAAAAAAAAAAAAAATAATAACAATTTCACAACTACATGTATATAAATATCAGTAAATGAGTGTGTCTGTTTTGTATAGGATGGAAGGCTTAGTGTTGGGGACCAAATTTTGGAAGTTGGTGATAAACCTCTAACAGGGGTTCATTATGATAAGGTAAGTCAAGTTTTACAGAAAAGTTGTGTCTGTTATTTCAGAATGAGGATCTTTAATTAAATATACTAAATATTCATTTTGTTATGAGGAAGATTTTCCAGTTTAGTATTAATGCTGTTTTTGTGGTGGTTTATCCGTTTACTTATGTGCTCTTTATGAATTCCAGGCAATAGAAATTTTAAGAAACATGCAAGGAACAATCAAACTCAAAGTTCGAAAAAATAATGCAGATAAAAAGTTGTCACTTCTGACAGCCAATCATCTGGATCCTGATACAGGCACCAAAAATGTCTTTCATCTTCAATCTGCTCCAGGTAGGAAAAGTCCTTTTACCTTTAGTTCTTTTTTGTAATGTCCCAAAAGTCAGAGATTCGGAGAATGTTTTTTTTTTTTATCTATCTCTGCGCCTACATGCAATTCTAACTTAGCTCTTAACTTAGAAAGTAAACACTGTGGAAACTTCATATTATATGTCAGATATTAATGTAGAACTAGAGAATGTGTTTAAAGCTGAAATCATGGTGATTTCATCAGTTGAAAAATTTCAAGAAAAAATTTTTTTGATAATTTTTAATTGAAAAGCTGTTGAAGTTTATAATGAATAATGACTAATAAATTAGCATTGACGATTAAACATGGTCAAGGACATGTTGAAGATCATTGAGTTGTGTCTGTTCCTTAATTTTGTTACACAGGAATGTTACGGGCTCAAACTTGACATAAAGGTAGCAAATAAAGATTTGTCAAGATCCTGAACTTCTGTCATTTAAACAAGATCTAGATTACCGGTACAAGGATATATGTGAAACTTTGTGAAATTTGAACGAAATATGCTTATGACAAGAAATTTTACCCAACCAAAAGTAATTTGGTCAAAAGTTGGAAGTTTTGAAGAAATTTATAGCTTAATATAAAGTTTTTTTGATTGTGGAGTTCTTTAATACAATTTTTCAAACACACTTTTTGAGTGTACCACAACCATGCTTAGGGGTATTCATGTTCTAAAAATACACCTTGCCTCATAAAAAGGTAAAAATAAATTGTTCCCGTTACTATATTTCTTGTGTTAATTTTTCAGGGGAATCTTCCACGGACCCAAACCCTGCAGAAGCTGGGGAGGAGGAGTCCACTGACCCCAAAACTTGTCCAATCATTCCAGGTCGAGAGACCACCATCGAGATCGAAAAGGGGCGTACAGGTCTTGGGCTTAGTATTGTAGGAGGGGCCGACACCTTGCTTGTAAGATTGTTGTTTAGTTTTAACATTTGAGGAACATTTTTAATTTTGGTCAAAAGACAATTATTCCAAACTGACATATAAATGGAGCATTTTCAATATTTTCTTTACTTTGGAATATGCTCTTTTAGCATTCAGTACAGCATAACAAAATGCATTAAAAAGGTGAACCTTTGAACTCTAAATTAACTGATTTATAATTTTGACAGGGTGCAATTATTGTCCATGAAGTTTATGAAGAAGGTGCTGCTGCCAGAGATGGTAGACTATGGGCAGGAGACCAGGTCCTAGAGGTGAGGGATTTAACCAACATTACTTAACTTTCTCTGTCCAAGAGATCCACATTGTATGGCATGTTTCAAATTCCTGTTATTATGTAATTATTAAGTTTTCTTAAATATTACATGTATTAATTGCTTTGTAAATATTTTGCTCAAAGAAGTAAATATGTGCAGGGAAATCTCTGCACGATTTTATTTTTCACTCTATGAAAATTTTTTCACTGGACTAATTCTGTTACAAGTGATTCACAACTGAAAAATAGGAAGAAAGCTGGAGCAAAATAATTTTATGTGTTACTTAACACTAGTGTAAAGAAGGTTTTAAGCAAGCTTAACAGATAGAATTTTAGCACAACTTAAAGATCAGTAAAGAAAACCTGTAGGCTAAATGATAATCTGTGACTTTTTGTAGGTGAATCACGAAGACCTGAAGGATGCCACCCACGATTATGCAATTCAGGTTCTACGTCAAACACCATCAACTGTTCAGATCAAGGTATTCCGTGACGATGCTCAGGTGAAAGAGGAGGATATTTACGATATTTTTACCGTAGAACTGACAAAGAAGCCTGGTCGAGGACTTGGTCTGAGCATAGTCGGAAAGCGGAATGATGTGGGAGTTTACATATCAGACATTGTAAGTTCTACTTATTGTGATTGCTGTCTTGAAATTAACGCTTTATTTTTAACTATAAAACTGAGAGGAAATATGGTTATCATGAAATTTATCTGGGGAGTCAAAGAATGGAATTTTATTGACAGTAGCAAATGTGGATTATACAGGAATAAATTTATTAATCTGTTAACTGTTTCTGGATAGTCATTTTGACTCAGTCTTGGAACTTTCTTTTTCCTTTAAATCTTGGAGGTTGAGAGGACTATCAAAGTATTCTCTAAACACACAGAGATGACTTTGACTTTTGTCTGTTTGTTCATCTGTATATGTGAGGAGTCACACTTTCTCAAATAAGACAAGAATCTCCTTATTTCAACAAACTTTATCATAAAACTTCATGGAAATAAATATCTGACTGATATACAAACATCAGATAAAAATTTTAAGATTAGTTCAATTACAAAATCCAAATCATTTGTTAAAACCAAATAGTATCTGTAGATATAAATAACAAAATAATTTGTTATTCTCGTAATTAAGCAAATTGTACATATGTACAACATATCAGAATACTTAGAATGAAGATATCTCACTCTTAAACTAAGATATATATAGAAATGTTGATATGAAATTAAATAGTTGTGAGTTTTCTATACTTTCCTGAATCTATTGTGATAAGGTGCACAAATTGTAGCATGTGTTTTTTGTTTACAGGTGTAACCATTTATGAACTACTAAAAGTAGACATTGTATATCTCTCTAGTAGAAGGACTTAATGAGTCTGGATGCTGAAGAATACACTATAGAAGTATTAGAGCACTGACAGATAGAATATCAATAGAAGAACTACTAGCTTATGATTATTCTTTAAAATTTTCTTTTTTAAATTTAATCCCCAGATCATGATTTTGATCGTAATGTGATTAACAATACTGTCATTATTCATGTATATGTCAGATATACCTGCAGGTTATACCTGTGTTCGTGAATCTAGATTAACATGAAATTAACATTTCGTTGTACACAATTTCCACATCCTCAGACCATCTCTCAATGAATATTTCAGGTGAGGGGAGGCACAGCTGAATCAGATGGCCGACTGATGCAGGGAGATCAAATTCTAGCTGTCAACAAAGAGGACATGAGAAATGCCACACAAGAATATGCAGCAGCTGTACTCAAAGTAGGTCAAAAACAAGAAATTTTGTGCACAGTATATTTATTTGAATCAGTAGTTGAATTACTCTAATGGATGTTTTGGACTTTGAATTTTATTACTGCTTAAAAAATTACTGTTTTATAAGAAATTTAATAATGCTTTTACAATATTCCTTTGCTTATAAAAGCTGAAAAATTATTTTTATAAAGCTTTGAAGTCGAATTTATGAGTAATTGATTACTTTAATTATTACACAGACTTTGATGGGTAAGGTATCATTAACGGTAGGGAGATTAAAGGCAGGTTCCCGAGCATCATCGAGGAAAAATTCCAACCCCAGCAGTGCACTGAAGAAGTCAGAATCTAGCGTCAGCAATAAGTCAAAGGGAGGCAAACACTCCAAAGGTAACACAACAATTATAGAGTTCTCTCCCATAAGTTTTCTATATTAGTTAAAAAAAATGGCATAAACAATATGATGTATTCAGAGAGCAATTAAAAGATGAAATAATATGGAAAATGGAATTCATTTGATCAATTATTTATGTAATTTGAATAATTGATGATAATATTTAATGAAACTTTACCCCAGCACCATTTTGGCCTTTTCTTTTAAACCTCATCTTTGTTTATCAAATACTTTTTCATTTTTTTTTTTTTCATGACTTTTTTTTTGTATTATCACAAAATTTTGAAAAACTGCTTAATTAGTGTTTTAAATATTATGTACCTACGTATCTCCATTGTTCCAGCATTGCTCCACATTTGCTTTTCAGTATGCAATAGAAATGAAATTTAATGGATAATTGATTCACAGAAATTAAGACACATTATGTGTTGTAGACATTTGAGAAAAACACTTTGATTTTTAAGCAAAAAATAATTCGGACTTTCATTTTTAGCTCTACTGGTCAGAGACCAGAAGAGCTTATGCGATAGTAAGGTGTCCGTCATCCGTCCGTCTGTCTGTCTGTCTGTCTGTCCGTCTGTCTGTAAACAATTTTTCAAAACGCTACTCCTCCTACAGTTTTGGTCTGATTTCAATATAACTTGGCACACAAGTAGACTACACTAAGATACATAATTTAGTGCATCGGTTTTTGATTTCGATGAACGGTGTTGCCATGGTTACTAAAAATAGAAATTTCTGTGAAATTCCTTTAAAACGCTACTCCTCCTACAGTTTTGGTCCGATTTCAATATAACTTGGCACATAAGTAGACTACACTAAGATACATAATGTAGTGCATCGGTTTTTGATTTCGATGGACGGTGTTGCCATGGTTACTAAAAATAGAAATTTCTGTGAAATTCCTTTAAAACGCTACTCCTCCTACAGTTTTGGTCCGATTTCAATATAACTTGGCACACAAGTAGACTACACTAAGATACATAATTTAGTGCATCGGTTTTTAATTTCAATGGACGGTGTTGCCATGGTTACTAAAAATAGAAATTTCTGTGAAATTCCTTTAAAACGCTACTCCTCCTACAGTTTTGGTCCAATTTCAATATAATTTGGCACAGAAGTAGACTACACTAAGATACATAATTTAGTGCATCAGTTTTTGATTTCAATGGACGGTGTTTCCATGGTTACTAAAAATAGAAATTTTTGTGAAATTCCCATAAAACATTACTCCTCCTACAATTTTGGTCTGATTTCAATCTAATTTGCCACACAGATAGAATACACTATGATACATAATTTGTATTTCTGTTTTTTTTTATTTCGGTGAATGGTGTTGTCATGGTTTATAAAAATAGAAATTTCCGTGAAATACTTTCAAAACGCTACTCCTCCTACAGTTTTCGTTTGATTTCAATATAGCTTGGCACAGAAGTAGACTACATTAAGATACATAATTCTATTTATTGTTGCATGTTGCAAAGTTTCAAATCCAAGTGCTACTTTTCTTTTGTACAGACCAGTAGAGCTACAGTCTCATCAGAGACTTCTGGTTACAACTTTTTCCAGGATCTTTTTTGTGTATTTTTTTAGATGTCTCAAATGTCCACTTTCTGTGTGATATATAGCACTTAAAAATAATCATGACTTGCTTTTCTTATTATGCTTTTGTCTTTGTTTACACTTAGTAACCCATAGCCATTTTTTACCTTTAAAATAAATAGATTTATTTATAAGAAATGACCAAAGTAATTTTACAGATTAATTTCATTTGAGGTTTCATACATAAATAAACAAGTATTTTTTTTTTTTTGCTGTTTTGGTAACCATCGTATCCTAAAATATATAGACCAGTTAATTTTGACCCATGTATAAATATGTACTTAGACCAGTTGATTTTGACCTCTATATATATATGTATATCATCCTTGTCCAGTCCATTCATTGACCAATGTTTTCTGTTTTCATTCCTACAGGTCTCCCTTCCTCTAAAAGCTACTAAGTACTGGGTTATCTTTGGTCATCAGAAACAAAATAACTCTGATATTTATATGCACTCTCAATAGAAGGACTTTTAAAAATTACTCCTCTTGAATATAATTCTTGTATGGGATTCAATAGCAAGGTCTTCAGATTGCTTTTTCATGTAAAGTCATGTACTCTGTTTATTTAATAACGAGATAGAAGAAGTAACAAACAATATTTGAAGATTGTGGTTTATATAGATAAAAAAGTTATGATTACATGCAATGATTTTGAAATATTTTTCTATTTCTAATTACAGTATAATGTTAAACTACAGACTGATTTTGTCTTTGTTTTACAAATGATAATTAATTGGTGATGGGATATACTCGGTAGTTTTTATTGTGCAGAATGCCGAAATCGGTGTTTAATAAGGTTAATTAGACAAAACAGATACATGCTTAGTAAACAAATATATTTATGAAAAATTGAATTTGTTATGGACAGATTGATATACTAGTACACATGTACTAGGATATGTTTTTAAAAAATGTGTTCACATTTCTGTTGATAAAAGTCTACACTCTGGAAACTAAGACATTACATGTAGAACAAAATCATTTTCCATATGTACATTGTGGTTGTGAACCTATGTATGTCCTGTTTATTTTGTTACCCCAATAATGAATAAATTGTTACAGACTATCAATAATCATGAATAAATTATAAATTCAACTCTTTGCAATTATGAAGTATTTTGGCTATTACCAGATGATTTCTTAAAAGAAACATGAAATCAGGTAACAAAAAATTACCAGGTTTCTTTATGAAACAAGAGGATGGTTATAAAAGGTTGAAAATTTCTTAACAAAGTTGAATTAAGGGGTCAATTTCCCCTCAAAAAATAACCCTGGTGAAAAAGAGTATTACTGGTAGTGTATAAATTTGAATGGTAAGATTCAGAAGTTGACCAGAAAGGCGTCCAGTTATAACCCAGGATTTAGTGGCCGTGGATTTTTATCTTGTGTAAGTTTGACCTACTCATGCAAACTTGGTATGCATGACTTAGAATGCATGATCTGCCCTGCTGTGCCTTAAGTCTGCATGAGATGTATCATTGACTGTTAAACAATTACAAGCATTATATCTGCCCCCCTTTGTCTCACACTCGTATACTTGAGCCTATTATGATAACCAATTTTCCCCCATAAATGTCTGATATACATGCACATACATACATAAACCAATATATACATGTTTATGATTATTATTCATTACAAAACTGTGATATTATTACCTTTGCCATGCCTAGTTACTCATACTATATGATGAAGACATCTCTTCCTAAATCTTTCCTCTGATTGTATTTTTGGTATTTTTCCCTCTGTATTTATTGCAGTGTATTGTTTTATTTTCAGGTTGTATTTTTCTCCCATTATTGTTATGGATTCTGATATTTTTCCGTCTGCATGGCATTTTTGTTTATTTGTTGTCTGCAAAATATTTTTTTTTAATTAAACTTTATATATCCCCCCAAAAAATAAAAATAAAAAATATATTTACACTTAAATTGCAAGCTTCTTAGGCTGCAGTGACAAATTTAAGTTATCAAGAAATGCGAGAATGCAGGTGTACCAAAGAAAGAGGATTGTGGTTGTGCATGTAAATAGCTATTGTCAAACGTTTACATCAATGTAACAAGTAGTTTTCATTAAATTTAACGTCACAGTGAAATAAAATTAAAAGTAACATTGGAATTATTAATTATGTATTTCAGTGAAGGGGAAAGCATAGAGATTTTAACTGCTATTCGTGTTTTGGAAATGGTTAATTACTTAGTGCGGTATTTGTATATAAAACCAAAAGTAGAACAACTAAATATGGTTTTACATATTTAACATCATGTACATCAGTGTAAGTCTTTCTAAAATGAAAAAGTAAAATCAATTTTTGTTCAAATTAAAATGTTAGTTGACATTGAATGGCATTCAAACATACATTTTTTTTTCTAAATTAAACAATTTTTTTAAATATTTTTATCAAAAAGTACCATTCATTAAATATTTTCAGGAATACTTAGACTGCATGATACAAATTATTAGTGACCTTTGACATTGATAATAGTTGGTCTCTTTTGTACAGGTCATAGTGAGGATACAACTCACATACGTGTGGTAGAACTAGAGCATGACATTACTGGATCCCTTGGACTGAGTATTGCGGGGGGCATAGGTAGCTCTATTGGAGACTCTGCTGTCATCATTGCCAATATGTCACCAGCTGGACCCGCAGCCAAGTCAGGGAAACTCAAGGTACCAAACAAAATATCTGTCCGTCTTATCTATGTACTTTTTGGAGTTTATAAATTTTCAACTATATAATTTTATTTATTCTTCCTTGAGAACCTTATGACAGATACTTATTAGGTATAAAGAACTTCTGCATATATAAAATGATCTTTTATAATAGCAATAATTCACAAATTCCTAAATTCACTGCTTCATTTAGACAATTAACTGAGAAAATTAACATCACAAGTTACTGTATACAGGGAAATTTTCACCCCCGTTTTATTTTTGCCCCTTTCGCCCTACACACAAGTGGGTGAATTTAAAACGGGGTGAATTCAAAAATCACAGTATACTTTGTTAAACAGAATTGTGACTTGGCGAATTTAAAATGGGGCAAAATTGTTTGCAAGTATAAAAGGGCAAACATAACACGGGCGAAAATAACCCTGTATACAGTATTTCCCCTGTACGGGTCATAGCTCCTATATTCATGTTTCCCCAATAATAGCTTTGCCTTTTCAATGAAGCACAAAGCAGAACTATTTAGGGGGGGAGGGGGGGCACACATAAAGATGAAAACAGTGATGAAAACATTCTTATCAAAAATAATGGCTCAATTCTTGTTGAGTATATTTAAAGCACCCTAGATTTTGTGTCCCTATGACAATTTTTCCCTCAGGTGCCTTGTACACTGTAGTATGTGCCATTCAGTTAAAGACCTGAAGAAATCTTGCAGACAAAAGTCTGTGTAACTACCTTATGTTCCTGTCTGAATATGTTTAGATTGGTGACAAGATCCTAAGCATTAATGATGTACAGCTAGATGGCATGTCTCATGATGAAGTTGTCCAGTTACTAAAGAAACCTGGAACCATTAAACTAGCCGTGTCACAAGGTAAGGAATCTATATCATAAGGCAAGGGAACCAATAGGCTCCCTGTAAAATAATAAAAACCCTTCAACATAAGATAAGGGAACCGATAAAATCCTGTATCATAGGCTAAGGGAACTAATAAGTTCCCTGTAAAATAATATAAAGGAACCAATAAAAACCCTGCAACATTAGATAAGGGAACCAATAAGCACCCTGTATCATAAGGTAAGGGAACAACAAACTCCCTATATCATAAAATAATTAGGGACTAATAAACACCCTGTACATGTATCATGAGGTAAGGGAACCAGTTAACTTTCTATATCATAAGGGATAAACTAGGTATGGGAACATTATAGTCCAGTATCATGCAATTATTAAATCAGATCTTTGATCCAATCCCAAACATAATGTGTAGCTTTAATTGTTGGGACATATTAAATTTGGGAGCAGTTGGAAGATCTGATTTTAATCAGATTGATTAGTGTAAGGTATGGAACAAAATAAATAGACAGCATCACAAGGTACATTGAATGGAACCATTGAACACCATGTGTCACAAGCTAAGGGAACCATTAAAACCCAGGTGTCACATGCTAAGGGAACCATTAAAAACCAATTCCTAGTACTACTAGTTAAAAGATCCATAAAAATTCCAATTCTGGTGTCACAGGGTATGTGAACCATTAAATCCATAGTGTCACCTGATGAATTGATACTCATGCTGCAATCAACTTTCAGTGTCACCTGGTAGGAGAACCGTCAGATTTGGAGTGTCACATGGTAAGGTTTGGATAAAACCCAGAGAACACATACAGCTGTACTAGTCTATGACACACCCTTAGCCATAAAAACACCATATCATGAAGATATGAAATATCCCTGAACCTACCAAAACTTTTAATACACATGACACACCCTGCCCATTACAGTCACTGATACATGGTAAGACTATGATGCAACCTTAATCATCAAAATCACAGCAGCAGCTAGAAACACTGTGCAGGGCACACCCTGAACTATTAAAGTAACATTGTGAGACATTGTTGCATGCCAAATCATCAAATTGCACTGCATATTAAAAATTTTTCTCAACCAAGACCACCATACTGGCCTTGAAATTACTCAAAAGTACGAAAAAGCATGTAGTGTAATTCAAATCAGATATTTGAAAAACCATCTTTATCATAGGATTGGTTATGTAAGATAAAAACTTTATGGAAGTTTTGCAGCTCTGCAGTTTTTGGTTTACAAGCATGTGTAATTGGTATACAATAAATTCATTATTCTATGCTTTTAGGAGAGGACACAAGAGTAAGTGTCAGTGGTCGTACATCGCGGCAGGTCAGTACCGACATGTCACAGGAGTATGCTGAACTTATGGCACAGGACAACGTGTTCCAGGAAGCCATGGCTCCTGATGAAGGGTACAGTACCTTAAGTGAATCTATCTGTTGTCAAGTGAAATACAGTTAAATCTCGTTATCTCGAAACGACCAAAAAAATCTTTAAGATAACCTAGGAATAGAGATATCCAGGGTAAAATACTTGTAAGGAATAAGCAGTTAGGACTTCAAAATCACTTTGACATATCCATGGTGTTTCAGATATCCATGTTTGAGATACCGAAGTACAACTGTATCTCTATTGATAATATGACCACTAAAAATCATAGGAGGAAGCAAAATTTTAGAAGAATGAATGAGAGTTAAATAGAGACATAAAAAGTTAAATTAATCTTTGTGATTTTAAGCTTTCTTTTTATATATATATATATAAATGTTGAAAAATGTCACCATTGAACATAAACAATAATTGATCTTGTATATGTATTCATTAAGACAGTTTTAACATTTATTTGGTCTTGATAGTGTACATTATGGTGTTACAGACCACCTCCTCAGTGTAAGACCCTCCATCTGAACAAAGGACCAGATGGCCTGGGGTTTTCCATCGTTGGAGGACATGGCAGTCCTCACGGGGATCTTCCAATCTATGTCAAAAATGTCTTTGCTAAAGGAGCTGCTGCAGATGAGGGGAATCTGAAACGAGGAGACCAGATAATCTCAGTGAATGGACAGAGCCTTGAGGGCTGCACTCATGATGAAGCCGTGTCAATTCTCAAAAACGCAAGAGGTGCGGTCACAATGACCGTGTTGACTTCATAGAGAAAACACTCCAACTATTGACAGAGGAAATTCTGATGTTCAAAAGTGGATACTTTTTTATGCAAGAAAGTAGGAGTAGTAGAAGTGATGATTATTTTATCTTATATTTGTATACATGGTCAATTAATAAAAACATTACAAGATTATTTTAGAAACTTTCTAGCTTTCCATTTTGATGTTAGTGATTGCATGTTTTTTTTAAAAAGTCAACAGTGATATTTATTCTAATTTTTACTCTATTGTAAGCATTATGTTTATGTGTATTACTTAGAATTTATATCATACACCAATTTCAGGATATACACATTTTGCAGTGTTTGATATGTTAACTTCCAATTTCTATTGGCCACTGGCACGATCATTTGATATCACATTGTGCTGTATAATCTATGAACCACTCTGTGTAAATTCATGTTTTCTATATATATTAGCATATTGTTTTGAAACCCAGCATTTGTCCATGTACACCAAAAGAAGTACACATAGATAAATTACATTTGCAATCATGAATAATTTGATGGAGGTGGCATTTTATTTGAAAACTACTACAATACGAAAAAAATGTTTATGCTAATTAGGTTCAACTTTTGTAAATAATACCTTGTTTTCCAAGATGATGTATATATTTGATAGAAAAAGAGAAATCAGAGAGAAGACAACACATTGCAAACTGGAATATACATACTTGATATTATGCAGGACATACTTTAATAAGAGGTTCTAGATTATAGTTTTCAATTTATCAAATTTGTTCTTAAAAGAATTTTACCATATAGCATATAAAAATCTCATAATACTTGAAAAGAGAAGATTCGAATATTGAATTTTTATTTTGTTACCTATAATGTCAATTCATTATTTTTACACAGAATAGTTAAAGGTATTTTTTTTTAAATTCATTTAAATCATGATCAAAGAATTTATTCAATTTCACAAAGGCTTTGTTATATGAAATTAGTAAATGATCAGTGTTGTTGCCAAATAATTTGCACAACCTGTAAAATGAATAATTTTCTAGGTCGCATTTTTTGAAATTTTGTTCATGCAATTTATTGACTTGCATAGTTTGAGTTTAAAATTTGAATGTTTTACTGTAGCTTAATCAAGGCATCTTCCATCAAACCAGACTGATGTCAAGAGTGCTATATTTGTCAGATAACAATCACGTCATTCTATCCTTATTTTTGTTAAACATTTGTTATTTCTTTGGTCCAGAAATAAAATACCTATACAAAGGAATAGTGTTATCCTTTTAAAGCTGCTGCAAGAAAAGGTACACATGAAATCAATTCATGTTATATATATATTTAATTGAACAGTCAGGTAATCACTGCCCCGCAGGACCTGACATGCATTGTTACTTGATTCTTTTTACACATAGGTTCATCATGACCTTTCCTTGGTGCCAGCTTTACAAAAGACAACAGCTGTATAATTTTCATTACATTTATTAAAGACTTGAACGAAAACATATACAATATATAGGCCGGTAGGAAGTAATTTCACTTTGAGGAGGCACAACCATACATTTTCAGTTGGGGGCATTATCAACTACCAAAATTTCTTGACAAGCATAAAAATAAAATAAAAAAAAAAGGTCATCAGACGTTATTATTGAGGGGGCACAAGCATATAGTAGCTATGTTTTCTATAGTATTCTATATATTGGCAAAATTATTTGGGGGCACCCTCCTCCGTGCCCCCCCCCCCGTTCCTACGGCCATGTTATATATATATATATATATATATATATATATATATATATATATATATATATATATATATATATATATATATATATATTTGAAAAATTTCCTAAAGAACAGCAGGACCGTAAGTATTTTATTATGCAAACATTCCCATGCCGAATCATGTTTGTTGAACTTGTGGCCTTGAGGACAGGGTCAGGCCAAAATAGGGGAACAGATTTTACATGGAATTTAGAGAAGGAATGTTTAAAAATCTTCTTGAGAACAGCAGAACCATAATTAAAATGCAAGCATCCTAAAGTAGTGCAGATTCAAGGTCATGGTAGGGTGGAACCTAAAAGAGTACACATTTCATGGTAGGGTGGGGCCAAAAAGTTCATGATTCATGGTAAGGGTGTGACCAAAGAAAGGGGTTGAAAGTTTTACATTGAAAAATATAAGAAAGAGTTTTTTCAAGAGCAGCAGGGCCATGATAAGTCATTATTCATAAGTATTGCAGATGCATGTTCAAATCATGGTCATTGATAGCCTGGGACCACAATATGGATCAAAGTTTCACATTGGATATATTATTTAGGAAATAAGATCGGTTTGTGAAAACACTGATGCCCCGTATGGCGGCTCATAGCGAAGGTTAAAAATTCTCAAATGCAAATCAAACTCCCAAGGTCAAGGTAAACATATCAATATTGTTGGTACCCAATGGTCTTGTCATAAAAAACACACATGTAAAATATGAAAGCCCTTGCACCAACTGTTCAAAAGTTATTTCCAAAGTTAAAGTTTTTCAAAATAGGTCAAACTCCAGGGTCAAGGTCAAAGGGTAAAAATTGCTGACACTTGAGGAAAGGACTTGTCGCAAGGAAAATACCTGTGAAACATAAAAGCCCTAGCACTAACTGATCAAAAGTTATGGTCAAGGTTAGAGTTTTTCAAAAGTAGGTCAAACTCAAAGGTCAAGGGGTCATAACTGTTGGTATCCAAGGAAAGGTCTTGTCACAAGAAATACACATGTGAAATATGAAAGCCATAGCTTCAACCAATCAAAAGTTATGGCCAAGATTAAAGTTTTTGCGAACAAACAGACAGACAGACGGACAGACAGGGCAAAAACTATATACCCCCGAATGTCAGGCAGTGCAAATTCAAGTTTGTTCAAATCATGGTGCCTTGGGGTAGTATGGGGCCAAAAAAAATGATCAAAGTTTAACATTGGAATATGTAATATATATGGAATGATGTGGAGATAACGAACAATCCATTAAAACAATACAAATCGGGAGCAGAGCAAACACGGACCTCCAAAAACAGAGGTGGGATCAGGTGCCATGGAGGAGTGAGCATCTCCTGCCGACCGGTCACACCAGCTGTGTGCTCCTTGTCATGTTCGGTAAATAACGGAAAAATCCGTCGACAATTCAGTGTGTAAATAATGGTCTAACAATTAGTATGAAAAACGTCAGTCAGTATTTGACTTAATGATAGTGTAAGGGTTCATCTAATAATGGTAGTTACGTCCGTCTGTAAACCCCCCCCCCCCCTTTCAATGAAATACCATGTCCATGACAGATATTTTTCATATATGAATTTAGTCCGTACAAACTACTTAGTAATTAATATCGGCCGCAGCACCGGTGGAAAGTCAAACGATGTCCCCTTTCCTTCTCTGTCCTTTAGATATCTCCGGACGTTATCCGTTAGGTGTTTGGCGCACAGCAGTTGGACAGGATCCGTAAAAGCATGACGACCTAGTATGATAAAATGAATTGAACTGCTTAATTCCGACTCAAATGTTTTAGAAAGAGGGGAAATTGCATCTATACTCTCGAGGAAGTTGAATAATACTCATGTATCATTTCTTTCATTTTTTTCAATTTGGTTATAAACCACCTGTGTAACGCCTGTTAATCAATGTTTATAAAGTTTTGTTCTATCTGTAATTTATAAGCTAATAAAGATAATCATTTAAAGAGAAACGGTAGTCAATTCCGATGGGCCGGGTGTCTGGATAGAGGGATGCCATTGCACTGTATTTATAACACGTCACTCCAAAAAAATCATCTTGTTATATACTCATTAGCGACAATTGATTAATTGTTATCACTTTAATGTTACAACTAATTTGCAATTATTTGAGATACATGATATTCTGACACTAATTTGCTAAACTAAGATTAAACCGAATTTAAATGGCATTTGTTTAATTAATATTAATTATAGCTCTTCTTCCTATATAATGTTAAGTTTGACGGAACACCGATACATTAATTATATTAATCCGGGTGACTGTAGTCTGTATGGTGTTGAAGGCATGCGTGTGGATAATCCTCGTTCAGGCTTTCTACGTGAGATGTGTTTTAAGTCAAAGACAGTTTTTGTATGCTTGGGAGGTATTGACATAAGTGTAGGTTGTTCACCGAGAATAATTTTTGACAAGATTGTGGGGAACGTGCGTGATGCAGAGTGTAGCTGAACATGTATGTCATGTATGTGTGTGAATTATAACAAGAGGAAACTTTCGATCGATAAGATAAAGCGTAAAAAAAAAAAAAAATGAAATAAAATCATAAGATCTTTAAGTGAAAATGCTATTTGAAAAATATAAAATATATTGAGCTCAATAAAATTCCTTTTTATTTGGGTCTGAAATATCAAATAAATAAACATATTTTTACAAAGTATACAGGGAATTCTTTTTACGCTTTACCACCTTATAACATAAAATTTCATCCATGCACAAATTTATGAAGAGAAAGTACCAGACTGGGTTATTTGTTGTATTTATTACTTTTTTTTAATCTTGTGTTTTAGAGACCATATAATTAAATTATCCTGTAAAAAAATTGGACAATATATTGTTACATTCTTGAAAAAAAAAAAAGATTAATCTTGTCTGTTTTTTTCGATAACATAATTGGAAAGTACCGGTATCTTAAGTATTTTAATATTAAAATTGCATTCTCCACTATTTCACAATAACAATATCGAAGTGCATGGTTATGGTTTGGGAAAAAGGGATACCTTCATCTAATCATACAGCTATAAAACAAAATTGATTACTATTGATTATTTAATTGTTACATTGAATACAGTTTGGTTTTCTATTTTTTTTTTTTTTGAAAGGGGGTATGCATAGTGTGGTGCTTCGGATATATAATGGATAACAAATATTTAAAAATTTGCTTATATATATATATATATATATATATATATATATATATATATATATATATATATATATATATATATATATATATATATATATATATATATATATATAACCAAAAATTGTGTATGTAACATGGTTGTATGCCAACATGTTTGGTGAATCAATAAATAAATTGAAAATTGAAAATATTTAAATGTTAACACCCCCCCCCCCCCAAAAAAAAACCTATCATAAATAAAACAAGTTGTTAAAATTATTTCTTTAAATTTTACAAATAAAGCTTTCTTAAATAAGACAAGCTGTTCAAATAATTCATTTTTAAACGAATCAATCTTGATGTAATCAGAATAAATTATAAACTTATTTTAAAACTCTGAACTTAGCGAGTTTACACACTTTTAATTATAACGCTATTAATGTCCGAAATAATTTAAATGATCAACTTCACTGTATTTGATAGGAATATTTTGTTAATTAAGTATAAAAAAAAGACTTACCGATCGTAGAATCCAAGGTCTTCTTGGAGAAAAATTCAGCATGAAAATATAATTTTCGTCAAAAACAATGTTTTATAATATAAAATGTGTTATAACTATCTTCTCAAAAAAGGATATTCATTTTCAAGCATAAGTTTATAAATGTCTATAAAACATAATTAAAATTTTCATTTCATTTCCGTTCGATTTCCATTTGGGTCCATTTCATTTCCATTTGGGTCCATTTGGGTAACTCGACGTACCTTCTAAAGTCAAAATGAGAACGGATCATATTTCCGGATAGTGTCTGTTCGACGGTTTGATGACTGCTCAGGTTGTTGATGGACAGTTATCAAAATTTCTATGGATTTCTGTTCAGGAAATTGAATGATAAACCATTCACCTTGGTGAAATATGGCATGTGATAAATTGAAAGGTTTGTGCAAAACGAGTATAGTTCGAAATGTTGAAAATTTTGCAATGATGCTTCGTGTGCTCCGAATTTTCTCTAAGCAACTGTGTTATGTATAAAAAAAGAAAAGAAAAAATACAAGTCCTAATAAGTGTTGAAATTTAAGGTGCTAAATAAATGTATGAAAGTAAACCGATAAATTAAAAGACGGGAGATTGAAAGAGGAGGAGACCTCCATCAAGGTACCCCACCCACCCCGGGGGCAGAGCAAGGATTTTGCTCAGACTAAAGGGGCGTAATGAGTGCCGAAGAACAGGATACTTTCTTTTTTTTTAAGAAGCAAAATGTGCACTCTCAGCACAAAATAAGAGAAAATAGAATATTTAAATGACAATGAAGTCATCTCTTTGCAAATTGGTATGGCTTTTAGAGAAATCAGTGCCCAAATGTTCAAAATTGTTCTGAAATATAAGAACATAACCTATTTTTTTCATTCAATCAGCAATCATTAAATATTCTTGTAAATGATTCACTTACTCATTAAAATTTTCTATGTCCACAGTCACAAACAATTCAGAATAAACAGCTTTGAGAGACAAAAACATAGAGAAAACATTTAATACATTAAAAGTAGTAGAAATTTGGATCAGCCAGTGAAAAAGTCTGTTCTAAGTAACTGTAAATCAGATCATATGAAGTTAATTTTTAGAGATTAACAAGGTTGGATTCTGATATTTAAAGTCTCTAACTTTTTTGGTCAAGTATATTTTTAGTTTCTATACACGTAGCTAAATTAAAAATCAAAACAAAAAATGGGGGTCAATACGCTTCTTTTGGCGCTACAGTACATTTAATATGACCTTTTTGCACTGAAATTTGTGTCTTAATCAAAAATCACATCTTCGACGTTTTCCCTCCAATGTTTTTATCCAAATAAATCATGGGACAAATTAAACTATTAGTTTATTTAAAAAAAGACACTTCAAAATTGTGACTAAAAAAAAGTTTCAAATTGCTTCGCATAATCAATTATTTCATCTTTCTGCACTCAAAAAATGTGATTTTTCTGGCATTAAAAATTTAACAAGCAAGAAAATTATTTTAAAGTCTTAAACTTTTTCTGAATTTAGGCAGATTGATCAAAGTTATCTTATATATTCAGAAAATAAAAACAAAAGTGGGGGTCTATGATGTAAATTTTTAGATATTACTGAAAAAGTGTTAATTTTATGTTAAAATTGGCTAAATTTTTTCCTGGAGTTTCAGAATATATTTACTATATTTGTCACAATATAATGAAAGAATTCATAAGAAATAATTTAATAGATATTTCAGAACCAGCATAAAACATTTCACTGCAAAAAACAGCTATGTGTGCAACCAGCGTGGAAAAATAGGAATCTAAATTTAACAGTACTGTATATAGTTCAAAAGGGGACAAAATGATCATTTTCTCCTAAAAAAAACCTTCCGCTACAAAATATAGTTCCTGGCTTAATCCTCTTTGAATGGAATTTAATCGCGGTTTTTTCCTTGGATATAGTTTAATTTGCATTGTAGAATTCAGATTTAATGTTTGAACTTAAAAATGATGCAGAATTTTATAAATAAAGGTCCAGACCAAAATCTGCTCAAAAGCTCAGGATCGAACCTCCTTAAGAAGGATTTGATCGCTTTGCTCCCTCTGTTCCTTCTTTTAAAATCATTAAATTTTATGATCTATCTATTAGTAAAATTTTATAAATCACTGACAACATGAGTTTGTTTTTAAGCAACCCTAAAGCCCATTTTTCAAAAACTGAATTATGACTAAGACCAAATCCTCCTTTTAAATACCATCATTCTTCTTGTTGATTAACTTGTGATTAAAGAAATTTAATCATATTACTTTATAAGCCTGTTTATCGAAGGGTTATTAAGTAGGCATACTGTAAGAGCCAACAAAGGATTTTGCAGGTCTTAGTTGTAAGCTCTTTTGTCAAACTGGTCTCATCCAACTCACCCCTGGGCCAATAAAAAATCCTCTTGATGAAGTCACAGAAGCGTAAAAATGAGACAAGATTGAGACAAGATGAGGTTGGGACAAACTGTAAACCCACATAATTATACAAAATCTAGCATGGATTTAAAAAAAAAAATGTATATTATTGTTCAAATTTTATCATAGTTATTGTTAATACTAATAATATTTTATCTTATATTGACAGAAAACTATGATAAAGCTCAGCGAATATACAGGTACTTCTTCAGCGAAGAGAGAAATATCTATCCATTCTACATTCCTGCACTTATATATATATTTTTTCTTCTGCTACGTAAGTATGAAGTCAGGAGATATAAATGTAGTTTATGTAACATTAAGAAGAAATGAAGGAGTAGATTTGGACATACTCAACATAGTTTTGAACTTAATATTTCTTATTCCTTGTAATTGAAGAATTTAGAAGTATCAGCTAAAAATATATGTTTGGTATTTTTTGTAACCCCTGGTAATGCATGCTGATTTTTATTTCCCTCGCATGAATATGGCCAGGGCATATAGTGTTTGTCATGTCAATCTTCCGTCCTTCAATTGCACTTTGCATTTAGCTCAGTTCAAAGCTCAGTTTCAAAGAAACTATCCAAGATATTTTCATCAAACTTCATATGCTGATAGATATTGATGAGAGCTATGCAAGTGCATCAACATTTGTTGACCTTGACCTTTCCTTTGACCTTGACCTCACTTTTCTTAAATTAGTGTTTAGCTCAGTTTTAAAGAAACCATTCATGATATTTTCATCAAACTTCATATGATGATAGATATTGATGAGAGCTATACAACTGCATCAGCATTTTTTGACCTTGACCTTTCCTTTGACCTTAACTTCATTTATTTTAAATTAGTGTTTAGATCAGTTTAAAGATGTTTAAATAAACATTCAAAATATTTTTATCAAACTTAATATGCTTATACGTATTTGTAAGAACTATTCAACTGCATTAAAAATGTTTGACCTTGAACTTTCCTGTGACCTTGACCTCACTTTTCTTAAATTTGCATTTGCTTAGATCTAAAGAAACTATTTAAGATATATTTATGTAAGCTTATGCACATACACAAAATTTGGTGAGAATTTATCATCTATATCCAACTTTTTAGATTTCAATTTTAAAAGAAACTATTCAAGATATTCTTATCAATTTTCATTCACTAATACAAATTTTCATATTGCATTACTAATATACCCTCGGCTGGGCATTTATGTCCTATGGACATATTTCTAGGTTTTTTTTTTCTGTCTAAGAACATCTAAATGTACTATTATTTTAAATGAAGAATTTCTTGAAAAAAATATACAAATGGGTGAGGTATGAAGAGAAACAATCAACATAATTGATTTATAATCATGGCAACTTGAAGATTTGCTAGAATTACAATCAATGTGCAGAATAATGCATTGGATACAAATGAGTTACTGAAATTTGATGAATGAAATAAAAATACTACTTTATCGATCTGTTTTGTTTTTTCATATTATTGACTGTGTTTTGGGGCAACATTGATTATGTTACCCCCTTAGGACAAAAATATTGCCCTCCACTCCACTTTGGGCAATATATATATCATCCCTTGGGGGCTAACATAATCAATGTTGCCCTCAACCTTAGTCAGTATTTGTATATTGCATTCTTTACAAAGAAATACAATAGAAATTGGGAAAAAAGTTAATTGACTGAACTTGATATTTCAGATGCATTATGGGATAACATTCCAGATTACTGGAATAGTGTGTACAAGCAAGTAAGTATCTGTAAATGATTTGCACTTCCCTGTATTTTCCTCCTGATTATTCACATACATAAATGTTCCATGATTGAAAATCTGCTTCAAACACATGGGTTTAATTTTGACATAGGTGCATGAATATTTTGAAAAAGTAAAATTTCTTTAAACTATTGTCACTATTATTTACTTAAACCTAATTCTTTATAGTTAGATAGTCAGATGTGGTCTTTTATTTCTGAGATTCATTTCAGTGATGTACAATTTTTCAGCCATCCTTTCCAGAGGTACCACCACCAATGTTAGAATACTCCAGTGCTCAATACCCTAATGATATCACAGTTGTGACAGCTTATTTTAACCTAGGAGATTTTCAGAAGGGTCCTATTAATATCTTTACACGAGACATGTATAAGCACTGGATGTCTGCCTATTCTAAACTGAACAACAGTGTCATTGCATTCACTGATTCTGAGGATATAGCCAAACTTTTCAGAGAGGAAAGGACTAAACATTTTGCGGAAACATTAACCCAAGTCCATGTTGTGAAACGAGATGACTTTTGGGCATTTAAACTTGCTCCTAAAATCAAAGATATATACTCAGAGCCAGATTATCCAAAATTTCCGCCAAACACTGTGAACGAGTATTACTCTTGTGCAATGCATATAAAGTATGAACTTCTAGAAATTGTGATAAAGAGAAAGCTCCACAAGACCAGATACTTATCATGGGTTGATATAGGTTACTTTCGGGAGAAAATGAATAAGATTTACAAACTTGAGCCCCCAGATAATTTGAAGGAGGGCCATATTGCATATACTCAGATTCGTCCATTTTATGAGTATATGCAGCCAGAAGATGTAATCAAGACTAATGCTGTGTGGATAGCTGGAGGATTTATCTTGGGAAAACCAGAGTACCTCATGATTATGATTGAAGATTACAAAAAAGCTGTGGAGGACTTGATTTCTAAACGCTTGATGGACACCGATCAACAAGTCCTATATATTCTGTATTCTCAATACTCAGATGTCAAACCTAGGGTTCCAGTTCAAACAATTTACCACCTGTGCAGGTGTAACTGGTTTTTCCTTGGTGAGCTCTGTCGTGATACATATGACAGACAATTTAGACCATTTTTTCCTTTGCTTAATTTCTTATCTTACTTAGTGTAACTTCGCCTGTTTTATAAAATTTGTGTCCTCAACAACCTTGGTGCAATTCAAAGATCAGACTCTCTTTGGTTTTAATTCCTATGTATTTTTTTTAAAGTTATAACAAATGTTTTAAAAGATACCAGAATATATAACTATACATATCAGACCTGTGATCGTACTGCATACTGAGCAGACATGTTCATGCATAATATGATTCCAAGATGACCTTGTGACAGGGAATTTACCCTCCTTTGTTGTACATGTTTTCTGAAGCTAAGGTTGAACTTTTATTTTAATATATTTTAAAATGGATGAATTAGTCAGATTGAAATTTGAATTTTTATTAACACTGTCACTGTAAGTGTAAAAGCAATCAAGATACTTGTTTGAGACAATCATATATTTAGAAATGATAGGGAAGAGATGATATGGAAGCCTATACAACTTCTTGTATATGTTGTTATGTGCTCATTTTGTTTTAACATTCCTTTTTATCTAATTTATTTCTTAATATCTGTAATACTAATCAGGCAATGGGTACTTCCTTATATTTTACACTTGGGTATAATTGTATAAATGTTGTGATATGTGTGTTGTAAATTCATTGCTTCACATTGAAAGCAAGTAGTTGCAGATAATGTCCTAAAATGTTTATACATTTATATGTAAAATTTGTTTACTTTTACCTTTAATATGATCTTGATCTCATTTTATCTGATTTTGTTCAGCTTAATTAAAAGATTTCAATTGAATCAATTTTTTTCATTGACCTTCCAAATGACCTTGTCCTCTCTTTTCTTTACTGTTGCTTTAAAGTAACTTTTAATCCAAAACATAAAAAGGATTTTTTTTAAAAAAACTTCACTGACATGGATAGGATTTTGGGGAAAATTTTAATCACACCAAGATTTTATTTGCTAAAGTTTTATGAATTTGACCTTGACCTTCCGTTCTTAGTTTAGGCGAAGGTGATATATTAAATCCTTGAGGGATTATTTTGTAAAGATTATTAATCAGTTTTATCAGGGGATAGGAAAATTTTACAGTTCCAACATTTTGTTTTCTTGTAGATGCCCAGATTATTTTCCAAAAATTTCTCTTGTAACCCAGGACATGCATTTTCTGAGCAAAAATTTATTTAGGAACTGTCTTATTTTGTTTTATTGCACTATTTACCTGTACAACACCTGTACAAAGTGTTCAATATATTGTCATACCAGTTCTAGACTAGTCCCATATTATAAATATTTTAATGTTAGACTTCAATCAATTTTCCTGAGTTCAATTTTCTCTGTACTGAGGAGAGACTGTGATGTGTTAGGTGAGGAGAATTATGCATCCACTTGACTTTGTGCTTTGGCATAATGACCTTAATTCCCATGTGCAGTCACATGTTCTAAAGTCATAATTATTGTTCATGAGTCAGATACCTTTTATAAACAATGATCTGTATTCAGTGTACGTTTTTGACTGTAAAGGTATATTTAAGGTCAAGATCTAGTAAATGAAAGGTGCCTACAGATTTCTCAAATTTGAGAAATAAAGTCCTTTAATGGTGCTTTATAACTTTAGCTTGGTCAAATAAGGTGTTTTGGGGCATAATTTGTAGATGAACAAGACGAAAAATCATATTTTAAACTGTCATTTTCGATGGAAAATTAAGAAAACTAGTCATGAATACGGGAGTTTTTTCCAAATCAGACAAAGGAAATGTATCCAGATTGCCTACAGTCTCTCAGAAAACGATAATTTGTCTGTTCTTGGCCTCTTCTTTAAAATAATATAAAATTGAATATAGGTATCGGGATTACTTTTCACATGATTTCAAATTGAATTCCATGAAAGTACTTTATTTTCTACAAAATTCTACTAGAGCCGTAAAGTACGGGAAAAAGAAAGTTAAAATTGATTATGACGTCATAATGGATCTAGCACCAAAAAGTTAGTCTGAAGTCATTTACTAGATCTTGACCTTAAGTCTTGTATGTATGAAGCATTATTTTGTGTTTTCAAAATTTTCTTTTTTGACCCTGATGAAGTATTACTACATACCATTTGAAAAGACTTTTGTTTTTTGAAAATAGAAATTATTTGACTATATTTATAGATTTATTCACAAAATGTAACACAAATTTGATAAATGCACATGATTTTTTGGAGAGGGAGGAACCACTAGCACTAGCTTTTCAATTTTTAGGTCAACATAATCCAATGGCTCCAGTATGAGCTTTTCTGATTAAAGAGGGTCTGGCGATCGTCTATCTTCCATAAAGTATCTATATAAAACTTGTCACATTTTCAATCTCTTCCAGAACCACCAAATCAGTTTCAAGTTTGTTTAATTCATGATCCTAGGATTGGGCTCCAAAAGGGTATCAAAGTTTAATTTTGGTATGTACATATATATTTTGTATACTTTGTATGTTTAAAACTTCTCAAATCTCGACATCAGGGCAGCAAGTAGTCATATTGATGCAAGCATCCACATGTAGTATATATTCAGGTTCTTTCATATCATGACCCCGTTGGGCCCGTAGCAACGGTTTCAAAAGTTGGGGGCCAACTTCCCCAAATTATCTGACAAGCAAAAAAAAAAAAAAAAAAAAAAAATGCTAATTTACTGTCCAAATCCTGGAATTTGCCAGTACCTTACAACATCAAAAAGTGGGGGAACCAACATCTAAAGGAAAATTTACCATAGCAAAATACTATACTCAGAAAAAGGTGCCCGGCCCATGGCTAGTGAGGGGCCACAACTGAGAGTCAATCTTTATAAAAATAATATATCTTAGTATGAAAAATTCCTGTTAAAAAAAAACCCTGTTAAAGGCTTCTAAAAAAAGGCAGGGTAATAATATAGTCAAAAAGTGTTAGGCAGCTATATGTTTTGTATATGCACATATTCAAATTATGGACACTGGGCCAAGGACTGAGCAGAAAAATATATTGCAAATTTCTAATATATAAATCGCAAATATATTCATGGCCATAATGATTAAGTTGCCATTAAGACAAAGTGCACTGTTAATGGAAATTGATGAAATTTTGGACTTTAATTTCAAGATAAAAATGAGGGATTTTGTTTATCAATATGTAAATATTTGTAAGGAAGGAAATGGTGACTCGGGTGAGCATTGTAGGTCATGGTGGTGGATGAGTTCAATTATTAATAATCCTAAATAAAAACACTGATTCTGAATTGGAATTTGCTGTAAATGAAGAGTGTCAAAATAAAGATACCTATCCAAGTTTTACCTTGCTAAAAAACTGGTTTTGACTGTTTCATTTCATAGCAGATGTCCATGATTTGGGCATGTTATTAAAGGAGGTGCATGTATATATCTCTTAAATGGGTATAGACGCAGATTTGAAGAGTACATGTGTAAATCCTTCAACATTTTTGGTATAATTTCATGTTATATTTACCTCTTAAATTTCGTCAGAAAAAAATCCACGTTTAAAAATATTTACTTAAAGCACAGGGACATCTTATCCACTGTTCTCTATTGCATAATCTTTATAATATGTGTGGTAGAGAACAGAGTGGATAAGACAATTATAATTTTTCGACATTTGATTGTAGATTTTCAGCATGTAAAAATGAAATGAAGTCACAATCTGTTTATAAACAGTGTGGAGTTTCCCGAAAGTGACGGAGTTAGGGTAGTGACAAATACAGTCAAGTTCAAGAATGCCTAAAAAATAAACAACAATCACACTTGATCTATTGTATCTATCACAATGTATGTGAAATCAGCACTTTTCCTTTATGGGCTATTCCATTGACACCTCCGACATGTGCCTCAATATGCTCATTTTTACATGTTAGTCATATTTATGAAGGTCTTTGCCAAAGGATTTATATGACATACCACATTGAATACAGCTAAAAAAAAATTATTTTTTGTCTCAATTTGATCTTATACGCTACAAGTTGGAGATCACGTATTGTGATTACATATAAAATACGTTATATTAAAGTTATTTTTTCTGTTGTTGATACTTTTCCTAAAATACAATATATAAAAATACTATTTTAAATCTTCAAAAGTAATTTTCTATGTTTACAAGTTTAAGATAAAGGGAGAAAAAACTAAACTGGAATTTTGAGGGGTTTTTTTGAAAAGGGGGGTTAAATTATTTATTTCATGCCTCTTTTAAATACTTCCACATCCTAAAGCCTGATTGTGACCTTTGGGTCAAGGTCAAGGTCATGTTAAACTTCATGACTTCTTAATACTTATAAGACTCACGGTAAAACTCTCAAGAAAGTTTCTCCGAAATCGATACTACATTTGTACGAAATTTGATGTCAATCCGAGGTCTGGTTTGAATTTTAGAGAAATATTCCAGGTTGCTGTTGATGTGACATATTGTAGAGGGCCCTGGTGACAGAGTTAGGGTTGGACGTAATGTACACAGATGTGATACATGTTCTATTTATAGTAGTTTTGTATAAGCCCAATAACTGACTTTTTTAAATAAAATAGTTCTGAAAACAATGTTAAAGTTCATTACTAAGTGTAGCAAACAAGAAACAAATAGAAAATAATAATTCAGAGACTAACCTGGAGTGTTTTCCGCTTATGGTGACAGAGTTTGGATATAGTAGGGGATAATTTACGCCCACTCCATAACTCAAATGGAGAACCACTTCAAACAAAGATCATTTATGACCAGAGGGTATGTCATATCTTATTGGCCCAAGGTAATTTGGGCAAGTTCAAGGTCACTTTTAGGAAAATGTAATTGACCACTTTAAAAAAAATGGCTTGGCGTGATAGTGATACGATATTGAAAATTTCATAGTACTCAGGTCACCACCAAGGCCCGCGGGCCTCTTGCTGTCTCACCGTAGAGGATATGTCACAATCGGCGTTCCATAGATTTCACAGTGAGCTGCCCCTTTAGTTTCGTTTAATATCAAGATGGACATTAAATTTATTCCAGCGGAAGATGTTAAGAAAGTTCTACAGTATAACGATCTCATACCTCAGATGGAATCAGCGCTGAAGAAATTCTCCAGTAAATCTATCGAGCATCCCGTTAGATCGATTGTCCAAGTGAAGAAAGTAAATGGGTATATATGACTTTTAATTATTAACACGTCCATGTTAAGCAGTACCTTAAGTGTCAAATATTTGTATTTGAGGGTAACATTGAAAATTTTGAACCTGGGAAAAACTTCAACCGAACGTCTGAAAAAAACTACGGTAAACCGTACGCGGTACATTTCACGCACGAAATCGCCAATTTGTCAAGTAATATTCCTTGTTGCTAGATAATATCACCCTGGGGGCGTGGTTTCTGCTCTCATAGGGTAATATTATATTTTTTATATGTCTCTTGACCAATCAGATTCGACTATTTTTGCATGAAAATATTAATAAGAAATTACTGGCATAATTATTTCAGCATATGTCATACTTCAATAGAATCATGCTTAAAAAAATTATTCATATGATGTTAATGTTATAGTTGATAATTCACTGTAAACTCAAATTGGAGGCCTTATGGTCAAGGTATTTTTGCCCCCCCCCCCCCTTTCCCACCTTCTCTTGAAAAGCTTTCTTGTTCATATACTGCAATTGCAATACTCCTTTTTCTTAAGCGAGATTAAACTCCACAAAATAAAGTTTTGAAGGATCTACAAAAATATATTTCCTGTAAAAACTGAGTACTTGCCATACTAATTGGCAATGTATTAATTAACATTTAAAGAACATAAACATGGATACTTGTCAAAGATAATTAGCATTATAAGATAAATGTCCAGTAATTTGTGCTCATGAATTTTAGGTATAATACTGTTTTTAGGTAAATTAAAATGGTATTTGATTTAATGAAATATTTATGCAATTATTTACAAAATTATAGCAATGTTACTTTAAAAATCATGCAATGACAATATAATAATGATTCTTGAGATAACTTTGTAGGTTTTTGGGAGTGATGCCAGCTTATAGTCCAGAGGATGAGGCATTGGCTGTTAAGTTGGTCACTTTTTTCCCACAGAACACTGGAGTACCAACTCATAATGCCATTATACCTGTGTTCAATGCACAGACAGGAATTCCAGAAATAGTTAAGTGATAATATAGCAGATACTGGTCGCTTCACCTACTGTATATGTAAATGTGGCACCAGTGTGAGGATGTAACAATTATACACAAAATAACTATTCAGTATACATTCCTTAATGAATGTATTGTAAATCTTACTGAATCACATTGGAATCATTGAAATAACCCATATAAGCATAAAGTCTGTAATATAAATTAGGATAATTAAAATGTTTAGAAATATGCACTGCCCCAGTATGAGAGTTTAACATTTAGATCAGGAGAGTATTCTTTAGTAATGAATCCATTTTCCCCAAGTGAAATGTGTGATTATTTTGTTTAATTAATTTTTATTAAAATTTATTACTATGTTAAGGATTTTTGACTTTATTTTGGAAGCAGTGGGAAAGAGATCTGTATTATTATTTTTTCATCTTTGCAAATTTTAACTATTGCAAAAAATTTCTATGTTAGTTAATGGATGGAGAAGTGATTACCACAATGAGAACGGCTGCTGTTTCTGCAATAGCTACAAAGGTAATTTATGCTATTTTGCTCTGTAAAAGTTTGATACACAACCATCATTTAATGAAGCTGTAAATGCTTGTCTCTCTGTGGTAGCATTCTAACACAATATGGAGAGATAGTCCTGAAGATCTGTTCAGCTTCTCTTGGAGTGGTACATGTATATTACATAAAATTTTACTTTCTTGCTTCAACATGACTATATTGAAGGTACAGACTAGTAGAGCTACAGTTTCTTCAGAGATGTCTGGTTTTTGTCACAATTCTCTTGAGTTATTTCTGTCTGACTTGTTTAATTACAGCACCTTTGTGCACCAAATCCCCAGGTTCTTGCTGTTTTAGGATCTGGAGTTCAGGCTCGCTCTCACATTCAGGCTCTGTCATCCATTATGTCATTCCAAAAGGTTGGTAAACTTTAAAATTAGTTTCAAAAAGAAGTACAGTAAAACTTGTCCTATCTAGATATTGTGTTTTCCAAAATCTTGCCCATTATGATGAAAACTTTAAGTCCCTTTCAATAACTTTTCATTCTTTAAATGTTAATTTTGTCTTATCAAGCTTATTGTCTAATTGTATAATCCAAAAAATTTCTCAAGAGCCAGTGGTGTTCAGATTAGGCAAGATATACTGTTTATTTACTGTAAGTGGGGTATACATGTAGGTTGTTTGGGATACTACTGTGGAATCATCATTGTTCGTGGGGGATCAATGTTCGTGGATTTCGTGGGTCACCCTTACCCACGAATTTACATCCCCACGAACAATTCTTTTATCAATGTATTGATTAATTAAATCTACCAAAAAACGAGCTGCCCACGAAATTACATCCACACAAACCAATAAAATTTTGCTTGCACACGAACATTGACCCCCACGAATTTAAATGATTCCACAGTAGTTTCAGATTATCAAAAAACTTCTGCAATATTTTCACAGGATCAGTATAAAAAATAAACTAGAAAATGAGTAAAGTTTTTGACTAGAGTAATGAACCTCAGGATGGTTCCATATTGTCACTTTTATATTTATAATTTGACTTATTGTGCATTAGTTGTGTACACATTTGAGTTGATATCATTTAATAGTTTACATCTCTGTTTGTTCAAATTCTAGGAAGTAACAATTTTGTAATTGGCAATTTTATTGACCTTTAAAATGTGACCTTTTTCTCAACATTTGTATACTAAATTTTGGTATTTTCAATAAAAATAAATGAAAATTCAGCCATATTTTTTGAAGGATTTAAAACACAACTGGCAAGTGGCAAAAATATTATCTGTGAAGTTTGAGAATCGTTTGGCAAAGACTGTGATACAGTATTTTCTTTGCTTATATAGATAAATATCTGGAGTAGAACCAAAAAGAATGCAATGTCTCTAGCTGGGGAGGTGGGTGGAACAGCTTATGATACTGCAGAGGAAGCTGTCAAAGATGCAGACGTCATTGTAACAGTTACGTCATCAGCAACACCTGTATTGAAGAAGGAATGGGTAAAACCGGGTGGACATATCAATGGCAATTAAGTTTGACATTTCTCAGAGAATTTATCATGTCAATAAGAAAACCAATTGGCCAGTCAATTTGTAGAAAACCAATTGCATTTTAAGAAAGAAAGGAACTATTTAAAGACATGAATGAATTATCAGTGAATTCACTCTATATGTGTTTATTTTAGCATATTTATAAATTAACACAAACTTTGGTCAGTGACTGTTTTGTGCAATCAAAAATGAGTACTATCACCTATGTCAATATTATATCTATAAATTCAAAAATGCTACATATTTTTACAGGTACATGTTTAGTTATGCAGAGAATTCTTCAAAACTCATTATTCTAACATTCCTTTTTTAACTTTTCAGCTGTGGGTGCCTGTCGTCCGGACTGGCAGGAAATTGACCCAGATCTGGTGAGGGCCAGTGTTCTCTATGTGGACAGCCGTGATGCTGCTCTGAAGGAAAGCGGTGACGTTATTCTCTCAAAGGTCAGTTTTCAATATTTAAATTTGTCAAAAAACATTTTTTGTTTACTTCTGATTTACAGAACATTTCTTAATGGTATGGATGAGTGTGCTGTTAATAATATAATATTGCTAGAGATAATACATTCTGAATATATAGATATAGCCTAGAGAATAATGAAAAACTCATCCTGAGAAATTCTTTTTTTTTTTTTTTTTTTGAAAGTTTTATCTAGTTTGAGGGTGCTTTTTTATTTTAGGCAGAAATTTTCAGTGAGCTTGGAGAAATGCTACTGGGATTGAAAGAAGCTAAAGTTAGAGAAACAACACTGTTTAAATCCCTAGGTGTGTTGTCTTATAATCAGTTTTCTTCCAATGGACAATACATGATATTTGAAAAATACCCGCACAACAGATTACATTTCTTTAAAACAAAAAAATTTATGAATAAAAGAATGTTATACACATGTTTTGATTTTTTATTAGGACTTGCCATTGAAGATGTTATGTCTGCCAAACTGGTTCAAGATCTGCTGACAAAAAAATGAAGTGTCGAGGAAAAAAAGGACAGAAGTGAATTATAAATAGTATTTACAAAGTTTTTTTGTATATACATCTTGATCAATCAAAAATTGAATATTCCAGGCACTACTTTACTAGTTTATACGTTTATGTGTTGAATACATCATTTAATCAGTTACTGAAATATTAATGATACCCAGAAAATGTTTATGATTGTCTAAAAAAAAAAATACATATATGTTTTAAAATATGTCATATTCATTGTCCAATATTTTTACTTTGATTTACATTTTTGTGAAAGTCTTTCAATATATAATGTTCTTATAAAAATATGGGTCCCGGTGTCTCAGTATGTATGTTATTTTTTGATCACTACATTGTACTGCATTACAAGGGCTGTAACTCTGTTTTGGAAACTGTTCTGTCGAATCTGGACATTTACACACAGAATGCCTGTGGTTCGTGAATATTATACAATTATTGCATGATCGTGAGAGAAATATGAAGATTTATTCAGCCAAGAAAAATCATATGAAGCCCTCGGGGAATATGATATTTCTTGGTTGAATAAATCTTCATGTTTCCTGAACATTCATGCAATAAATTGTTTATTATACCGAAACAATTAAGTAAAAACTTTAAAAATAAATATGAACTTTCAAATTCGGCACCGCTCTTAAATTCACTTTCAATTTTAACTTAGTATTACTAAAACACAGAAGTCCATCAGCAATTTTGTGACGTAAACCAGGCTATTGTGACATATACTTCTCTCGGTTGTTTTTGTTCAACGAACGATAACTATTGCGGGAAAATGTATTAGGTCTCCGAAGAGGTTGAATATGATGAAAAGCATGACGACGACAGGGAAATATGAAGTTTTATGGCCCTGTCACGTGAAAACCTAGAACCAATCAGATAACGGGTTGTATAGAATAATTATAATGAGGTATAATAATCTCTCTGGTACTGGTAGTTTATTGGCATAGGTAAGGAAGGAGATATAAATCTACATTTACATGTATTTACAAAGTGTATAATGTTATTGATGACTTGTGCATATGAGGAGCAGTGCTCAGGAGTCACATTCTCTGAACTGGATGAAAACAGGAACTACCCAGGTACTTAAGAATGTAGGTCGCTTATGAAAATCAAAATTTATGAAAAATACTCAGAAGTATGTATGTACCTGTTGAAAATCAAAGTTTTGTGAAAGTAGAGGTATTACATGTACAAAGCCATATTCCTGTTATGTACAAGTACATACTTCATAGTCATAAACCATGCACTTGGAGGCTTTGAAGCCTGTGATCATCAAAACTTGTCAATTGATGCATCATGGGGTCCTTATGTGTGTCAATTAAAAGAAGGTCACCTTGACCTACTTTCTGAAGTTAACAGCTAATCATTTTCAAAACATTTTTAATAGTTCATTATTTTGGATACTGAAAGGTTTAGATCACCAACATTGTAAGTTCATCATGGGTCTTTGAAACATATTTAAGGAAAAGTAGGTCACAGTGATATCTTTTCTGAATTTTGCAGGTCGGCAGGGGATGCTCACTCCTCCATGGCACCTGATCCCACCTCTGAAGTTTTAGAGGTCTGTGATTGCTCTTTTCTTATTTTGTAATGTTTAATGGACTTTTGAGCTCGAATACTGTTCGTTATCTCCACATATTTCATTCAGTGACAAAATCTTAGAAAAAAAAAACATATATTATTGAAGAGCGTATCGTCTGTCCTTAAGAAAGTTCGCGGCTCAAAATTCTCTTTCTGAATTTACTGTATAAGGAAATCTTCAGTAGAAAAAATGAGACAAATATTTTGTATCATCGTCTACATGGATGATGATTATACACTAGTACTGGAATGGAACATTCTGTAGGCTGTGTGTAACATTTTAAAAAGCAATATTCCTTTGAAGGTTCAAGGGCTTTGTTAGTACTTTGAGCTTACTAAACACAACTGTCTTGAAATTGACTTTAATTAAAATCATATAACGCCAAGCCATATTTAAGAGGGCTGGGTGGTTGTGGCCATTTTCAGTCCTTTAGAAGAAGTGCTCCATATGAAGATATACAAAAATGATCAAATTTTAAAACTAAAATGTATGAAATTTTTCTTTGCCAAATGATACTTCACAGCTTAAGATATCATATCTAAAAAATTAAGTTATATTTGATGGTTAATTTGTTGACCCCCCAGCCTCCTTAACGTAAAAAAGTACCTTTACTCTGGTAGAAAGCATAAAACATCTAGACATGCATTATAAAGGCGTTATATAGATCTCAAAAATACTTGTAATAATTCAATAAGTTACACAGTGGAAAGTGCCAAAATTATCAACCGTAAAAACTAACCATTTGCCCGCTTGCATAAATTTTGGTACTTGTAACCCAAAAACATGCAATTTTCTTCAAAACTTCTTTATAGTTTGTCCATCTTCTCGTATTCACAAAATATACAATTCTCAAAAATTGTCTTAATTCGCCAAAACTGTGCCTTACATCCACCATTTTTGCCAAGTAGATATCATATTTATAAAATGTAAACAGCATTTAGCATCAATGCCCTGTAAACAAGCATTCTGAGAGTATTGCATTAGCAATACTAGTCCCCTACCGGCAAGTGTAATCTGGTTCCCGTTGAGAATTGAAAATGCCATAATTCCGTCAAAAATTAATGAAGCGGGACGAAATACAAACTTGATCTATAACTAATCAAGGTAAAGCCACATACCAAAAATCAGCTCAATATCTACAAGCGTCTAGAAGAAAATTGCGGAAAACCCGTAAAAATTGAAAAGGCCGTAATTCCGTCAAAAATCAATGAAGCGGAACGAAATGCAAACTTAATCTGTAACTCATCAAGATACACTCACATACCAAAAATCAGCTCAATATCTGCAAACGTTTAGGAAAAAAGTGCGGAAAACCAAGTGGGACAGACTGACAGACAGACAGAGGGACAGACAGACAGCTAGACAGACAGACGGACGGACGGACAGACTCAGAGGAAACCTATAGTCCCCTCCGGTAGGGGACTAATAAACTCTTCTACATGCATGTACTGTTTGTTTGACGAAAATGAAAAAATATAGATAAAAAGTATATATATATATATATATATATATATATATATATATATATATATATATATATATATATATATATATATATATATATATATATATATATTTATATATTATACACCTATTTACTGGCTATGAGGACAATAGCAAGTTTATCGTTCCCCAAGACAGCAACTATTTCCCGAGGCGCAGCCGAGGGAAATAGTTGCTGTCGAGGGGGACGATAAACTTGCTATTGTCCGAATAGTCAGTAAATAGGTGTTTTATTATACCGAAGCAGTTTTTACTTGTGTTACGTCACAATCAGGATAAAAGCAGAAGAGTTCCGAGATGAAAAGCGAGGGAAACAGAATGCTGCCGGTGAATAGTTTAATTACTATTTCACCATGGGCAAATAGCACAAAAACTATTCCACGGTAGGAGCTGTTTGGAAAAAATAGCATGTTTATTCGTCATATTTTTATATAGAAAAAATTCACAGAGGTATAATATATATATATATATATATATATATATATATATATATATATATATATATATATATATATATATATATATATATATATATATATATATATATATATATATATATCTGTGTGTGTGTGTGTGTCTACATTTACTGAAGTATATCATTATACATGTATAAACTAGTATTAATTGTAACGGGGACCGTTACAGATGTTCCCCAAACGCTCCCCAACTCCCTTTTGGTGTCTCATTTCTTGTAAGCTTCATTAAATAAGGCAATTAAGTATATTGGTCATTTAACGCATTTCACGCGCGCGCACGTGCATGCATGTGCAGGTTGACAATGTCATTCCGTCTATACTATAAATGCATCTTTATATTCTCAGTATCAAAACATTTCATCAAAAAATATATAAGTTCCGGCTATATCAAGTATATTGGTCATCTTAGCATTGCGCGCATGCGCACCTGTATGCATGTTCATAATGACCATGCCATTTTGTCTACACTTATAATATGTCTGTTTGTTCTTAGTATCAAAGCTTTTCATCAAAAAATATAAAAGTTACGGCTATATTAAGTATATTGGTCATTAAACACATTGCACGCGCGCGCATGTGCATGCATGTGCATGATGGCCACATCATCTTGTCTACACTTTTAATATATCTGTATATTTTTAATATCAAAGCTTTTCATCAAAAAATATAAAAAGTACGGCTATATTAAGTAAATTGGTCATTTAACACATTGCACGCGCGCGCACGTGCATGCATATGCATGCATGTGCATGATGATCATGTCGTCTTGTCTACACTTTAAATACATATAAATATTTTGAGTATCAAAGCATTTCATCAAAAAGTTTCAAAGTTACAACTATATCAAGTAAATTGGTCATTTTACGCTTTGCGCGTGCGCGCACGTGCATGCATGTGCATGTTGACCATGTCATCTTGTTCATACTTTTAATATATCCTTATATTCTGAGTATCAAAGCATTTTATCAAAAAATTTAAAAGTTACAGCTATTTCAAGTATATTGGTCATTTTACGCATTGCACGCGCACGCACGTGCATGCGCGTACGCGCAAAATGACCTTCGTTCCGCAAATCTACATAACATGCCTAGTAACCCTAAAAAGGTTTCACCTCAATCGGATGTGTAGTTTCGGAGATCACTCACGGACAAAAAAGTACCCAGGAAGAAAAATAATAATAATAATAATAACTAGAAACTCATTGCGAGCAATGAGAGGTCTTCCGTCCGATTTTGAGAATAAAAACGTAAATTCAAGCTGAAAAGGTGATAAAAGAAATTCAGACACTCTGGAGATTTAACCCTGGTCGTCAGCCTGAAAATCCAACGAGCTAACTATTAACCATTCACTTTTTTGCATCACTTCCTGTCACGACCGGAAGTAACAGCGATACGAGATTTTCTCGCGATTAAGAAAACTGATGACTGACTATCAGTCCTGAAAGTTTCAGACTTCAATCGTTTACTGTTGCCGAGCAATATTGTGAAAACAAATTCTAATTTTGAGGACAGGTAAACAAGCGACTGGAAGTGAATTTTATTAAAAAAAAAATCTCTGACGTTTCTGTAGACATTTGCAGTATCTACAAAATGCATAAAAAACATTTCAAGTACTTTATCGATAAGCAATATTTATGACAAAAGTTAAATATCGAAATAACTTAGTTTATCACCTAAAACGGAAGTTGAAGTTTTAAAACAGCGAAAGAGATACAATAAATTAATGCAAACTTTAATTTTAAAAAGAAAA